TTGGGAAAGTTTTAGCTGCTATACACATAAGGAACTAGCGCCAGAAATCTCACTTGCTGCTATATCTAATACCTTGGGTTGTCTACTATTGCAAATGGTATGCCATTATGGGGATAATTCTCATTCCTGGGCTACCATACGATCTCAAAGGCAACGTAACCAATCTGGAATTTCAATGTGAAAAACTGAAAAATGTAACATGCTATATTTGACGCTGTAACTTCCCAGAACACCATAAAACCTGTACATAGGGGGTACGGTTTTACACGTGAGACTTTGCTGAATACAAATATGTGTATTTTATTGCAGTAAAAGCAAACAGTATTATGACATTCACAGTTAAAATATCATGTAGAACTAAAAAAACTATTTAAAAATTTATTTTCTCCCATTTTTTTATATTTTATTTATATTAAATTATGTTTCATAGCTACATATATGATGTTAAATGAAATTCCTGTTTCCCCTGAATAAAATTCTATATAATAAGTGTGGGTGCACTTAATATGAAAGAGGTGAATTACGGTTGAACAGACATATAGTCAAATTCCAGGTTTTGTTTATGTTTTGTTTTGACCACAACATTTGGCTCAGTCCTTAAGGGATTAAACCGTCATTTAGAATTTTCTACCATAAAAATGAAATATCGCTAATTCATATTTTGAATTTTCCTGTGTAAGATGGTGTTAAAAGTATATAAAAAGCTTACATTGACAGTAAAACCAGACAACTATATATAATGTTGTATAAATCATATTTAAATGTCAGACAGTTAAGAAAATACACATTAAAAAAACAAAACAAGTCTGATCTAGAACTACGTCTCATATAATTGACATGTAACAAAAAAGATAAAACAAGTGCATGTAAAAATAAAAAAATAATAATAATGTTCTTGTAAAATAGGACAAATGTCCTACAAACTTTTATGTAAGACAGAAAGGTGTTATTGATTAATCCAACTGTAAACGTAAAGAAATATATATGCATGCATCACACAATTTTATATATATATATATATATATATATATATATATATTGAAATTGGTTGTTAGATAGGGAAACACAAAAAAAGCCCACTATATTTATGTACCAAATGATATAAGAAAACAAACCTAAAAACATAAAAAAGTGAGATTTACTTATAATTAGAAAGGAATAAGTATGAGTTCTTATACAGGGTTAAGAGTTAATGAATATCAGAAATGCAAAAGAATAGAACAACACTGACTTTAAGTTAGCAGAACAGAACATTATTAGTAATTAAAAAATTACACATTTACTAGTGCTATAAAGTATTACATAAAAACAGGAGTAGGACAAAGTAGGGATAAGCATTTATTTAAAACCATATGGTAGCAAAAATAAAAAATAAATTAAGAACCAGTAAAATTAAATGTACACATTCAGAGCTTTATAGTGTGAGGTTAATAGTATTATAATGCTAATGAACCCTCACTTTGCATACATGTAAAAAGTAACACACTCTGACCTGGTCTATAATCACAATCTGTAAATTAACCCTTTAAGGATGCATGATGGAATTATTCCATTATAGAGGTCTTTCTCTTAAAGGGAAACTATAGTGCTAGGAATATAAAGTTGTATTTGTGTTTGCTTGCTGGTTTAATAAAATATTGTGGGGGCAGGGCTTAACTGTTGAAGTGGACAGTTGCATGGCCTTAAAGCTCTGTGCTGCAACAGCGGAAAAACCATACACCTAAGCTATCACCTACACCGGTACGTCTACTACCAACCACACGCAACCTCTAACGTCGGCGACTGACGCAGCACCAGTAACACTGGCAGCTATTGGGGAGCTCATGGTGAACCTCCATAAGAAAATATCAGCTGATGTGGTCATGAAACGTGAGAACCACCGAGTCTGACTGGCCACCTCAGCGTAGTGAAAAGCACATCACGCAACCACACACACAACAAATAACAGCCCTATAATAGGCGTTCAGAGAACTGCAGCAACAAAATCAAACATATGACTACCCAAGAAGACAGAAGAACGTAAAAAACAGGGTGGTCTTTGAGAGTATTCTGGAGGCCGAATTACCTCACTTTACCCTACACCTCCTGGTTGCCTTGGTGACACTGAAAGTGGCCAAGACGGTTGCGTAGAGGGAATATTTTGTTAAAAAACTGGCCAAGGCACAACCTACATCCCCAGGGTCCTGATGATACAGTTTCAAAGCCTCAACGATAAAGGGGTAGTTCTGGCTGCCACCAAGGGACTATCATCATACAATTTTCAAGAGATGTCATTGGCCTTTTACGCAGATCTCTCTGGGGGAACTCAGGGCTGGCGTTCATTGTAAGCCAACTAGACGGCCGCCTAGGTCGCTGATCAAGGGGGGGGAGGGGGCGCCATCAGTAGCTCTAATGTTAGTCCCCATATGAGGGACTAATTCTGAATTGCGTGCTGCAGGTCATGCCACCGGGCGATAGTGAGCACTTACATAGATGCAGACTAGCGCCCAGTGGCATCAATCCTCCACATGCAACTACCACAGAGAGCCACCCCCCATCCATTGCCGGGGCAGTGCAAGGGCGCATTTCTCGCTCTCTCCTGCCCCCTGCCCTGTACTCGGGGTTAAGTGGGCAGGATAATAGCGGAGGCGGAGCTAAGAGCGAGGCAGCAAGGCGCAATGATGAAGTCTGGGCCACATGGAGAGCCAATATGAAATTAAGGTAAGAGTGGCACTTCATAGTGTGTGTTTTAAAGAAAGTGTGCGTCTGCTAGGGACAGTGTGTGTGTCTGTGTGTGTGTCTACTAGGAACAGTATGTGTTTATGTGACTGCTTGGGACAGTGTGTGTGTGTGTGTGTATCTGCTAGGGACAGTGTGTGTTTCTGCATGGGTCAGTGTGTGTTTGTGTATGTGTGTATCTGCTAGGGACAGTGTGTGTGGGTTTCTGCATGGGTCAGTGTGTTTGTGAGAGCGTATCTGCTAGGGACAGTGTATGTGTGTGTCTGCTAGGGACAGTGTGGGTATGTGTGTCTGCTGGGGATAGTGTGTGTGTGTGTGTGTGTGTGTGTGTGTCTGTCAGTCAATACATGTAATTTTATGTCTGCTTGTGTCAGTGTGTGTGTGTGTGTGTGTGTGTGTCACTCTGCATGAGTCAGTCAATGTGTGTGTGCATTGGTCACTAATTGTGATTGTGTGGACCATTGAGTGTGAATGAGTGTGTGCGTGAGGGTGTGTATGTATGTATCTATCGGTGATTGCATTTGAGCAGAAAGGACCAATTTATAAAAAAGATCGATAGTTTTAAAAGAACACTATAGTGTTAGAAGTATAAACCTGTATTTCAAATACTACAGGGTATCTGCCCCTACTTAGATTGAACCCCTGCCCCCCCCCCACCACCATAAAATGATTTACAAAATAAAAGAAAAAGGGAGAGGGGATTTACTTTTAAAGAGGCATGTTTAACCCTTCAAGATAAGGCAATGTTTTATCTTGTCGGGTTAAACCTACAGGACCACTGTGGAATGAATGGGGCTGCAAATTTATTTATTTTTTGCCTACAACGGCAAAAATCCTTGCACCGGCCCTGGGGGAACCCTAGCATGGAGACATTCTCTCTGAACATTCACCTTCCTCCTACATACTAATAATGTCTGCTACCACTGGAGTCTGCACCCTACTGGTTTCGCAGAGGGACACCACATTCACAATTTACAGGAAGCCAAAAATAATCTACACAATCTGAGACTCCCTTCAACTTCACTTGGCTCAGCTCCTGAGAACATATGGCTTGAATCCAGCATCCATCCCCGAATTTGTGCCCAGACAGACCACTTCGGACTCTAAGGCTATGACCTGACCTCCTTGCCCTGTGCCCTCCCCGGCCAATCCTATGCCCGGCATACGATCTCTTTTTCCAATCTGGGCCGGCATCGACCTTCCCTTCCCTGGCCTCCGGGCCTAACCCACTGACCGATCCCTTGTGTGCTATACATTGCCGGCTCACCTACTCCAGTTATGTGCTGCAACAGCGGAGCTTGTGTGCTATACATTGTTGGCTAACCTACTCCAGTTATGTGCTGCAACAGCGGAAAAACCATACACCTAAGCTATCACCTACACCGGTACGTCTACTACCAACCACACGCAACCTCTAACGCCGGCGACTGACGCAGCACCAGTAACACTGGCAGCTATTGGGGAGCTCATGGCGAACCTCCATAACACAATATCAGCTGATGTGGTCATGATACGCGAGAACCACCGGGTCTGACTGGCCACCTCAGCGTAGTGAAAAGCACATCACGCAACCACACACACAACAAATAACAGCCCTATAACAGGCGTTCGGACAGCCCACGGGTTGTCCTGGGGCCCCGTCCCTCTCCCCCCTCCAGGCACCAGAGTAAACCAGTTAGGGGTGCGGGTCGGGGGGACCGCCGGTTGGGCCTGGCCTTGAGGGTGGGGGGGATGGGCGCATGGTATCAGATAGTTCCCAAGTGTACACGAAGATCTGTAAATGAAGGTGTCATGTACCGAGACCACAAGTGTAATTTGTTTGTTTCTATTAATATTGCCTTATGTTGCCCTGCATGGCGCGCTTGTGTGGGGAACGTGCGTCATGGCGATGACTATGATTATGGTTGTGAAATGATATGTGTATACAGGGCTCTGCAAACATCTAGGCAAGGAAACCAGTCTGGTAAAGCTACATATTTATGCCTGCTCCCCAGGTACCCTGAGTGGCTGCCCCGCCACTCCTCCCCCTGCCTTCCTCCCTGCCCCTTCTCCCCCCCCCCCTTTTCTCCCTCATCACATTTTTTCCCAGAAAAACTTCTGGATTACTGACGAGCTTAGCTTACCTCATCCAAATTTAGCTCCACACAGGGTCTTATACCATAACTTTGGAAATTACCCAACGCTGACATAACTCCGTTCCCCTCTGTTGTGCCTAATCATTAAATTCATGAAGCACCAATATCCAAAAAGTAATAATCAATTACCTAATAAGATTTATAGCGATATTGGCGGGCACACAACCCAGTTCGAGATGAGTGTCTTGGGCTATAGGAAAAAGAAACCACACAGAGACCAAGTTGCAGATAAGAATTCACACCACACTTTATTTTCCACAAGGGGACCCAATACAGAGTAAGCTTAACTCTCTTTAAGTAGTTGCATGCATTCACTTCAAAACAGCTTAGTATCTAGATATATCAGCTTAAGTATACATCACCGTTAGAGGGGCTTGTGTCCTCTGCACTTGACTCGGGGAGAACTCTGGCAGTCGGCTTGGAGGGATCCTCTCTGGGAACAGCAGAGACCAGCAACACGCGTCCGCATTACAGGTGGGTAGTTCTCCAAGTGAGTGCCAAGTTTCTCCGTCTTTTATACTTTTTATCAAGTTTGTAACTTTTCCAAGATTTCTTATCAGTGTAGCCCAGCATGTATCTTGTCATGCGCATTAAGTAATCAGTATGGTTGATCAGGCCAGTCGTGACCACCCAAGGCTCATGCCAGACACGTGCGGTATCTTATTCTATCTATGTCCCTACTCTTCTCTTTCTATACATTTGTTGGCACCAATTCCCTCTGTTCAGCACGTGGGCCTTTTTGGATATTGGCCAGACATGCTATGGAATATTCCAGGCAATGTTGAATTTCTTAGTCCGACACAGTTTAAGCATTTTATGCAATGTCATCATAGCTGAATTTCTTAGTGCGACATAGTTTAAGCCAAGTGCCATCTTAACTATCTATAATAGATTAATTTGCTCATTAGTGATCAATCATTCTTAATTAGTTAATTTGATTTTATCACAATTATCACATTCCATCCCTTGATCACTAAGTGAGCAAAACCTCACACATTTACGCATGCCATTCAGGTTATCAGCAGGGGGCAAGCCCATTTTCCCACTGATCCCCATATTGTTCCATTCACACCTGGAACCAATTCATGCAATAAAGCTCTTCGAGTCGAGGGTCACCCGTAGGACATGCCTCTTCCCGCTTAACATCCTTAATCTTAAGGGCATCTGATCTATCTATAAAAAACATTTCTTACTCTTCTAATTCTATCCTGGCATTTGTCTTACATGTAGCTACTCTTTGAATGCAGCAAATGGAAAGTTTGTAGCATAGGTAAATACAAAGTATAATAAAAACACACCACACAATTCCCTTTAATATTTTTATCCCAAGTCCTCCTATCCATGATCCTATACCAAATGTCCAGTCAAAATCTTGTGTAGTATTAGCTAGCCAGTGTTCCAAGTCGTCTGTGGTTAGTGGTTTTCTAAAGCGTTTTTGTATCTCTTCTAAATGCTGAAGCTCATGCTTAACTTTCCCTGATTTATCTTCTATCCACACACAACATGCCTTGCCTCCTATTCTTTTGCATACTCCTCCTTCTGCTGCAAGCAAGTAATCTAAGGCTATTCTGTTCTGCAAAGCTACCTGTCTAATCTGTTCTTGCTCATAATTAACCAAACTGATGGCAAGTCCTGTGCTATTAAAGGCATCGTCAATAGTATCAATTAAAAGATTTACATTAGTTATCATCATTCCCACCCCCACCATTGGAAAGAGAGAGACCCAAAACTGCATGTTTCTATCCATTTTAAATCCTGATAAATCGGTGTCTCGCTTTTGCCAATGATGATGGGTGTTTTCAGGTAAAGTTTTAGTAGGGTAAATGGCGGGCATCACCATTCCCAAGGTACAATCAATTTTAATTTTACATGGGAGTTTTTTATAGCCCTTCTCCCACAAAGCCAATAAAATCATCTTGAAGGGATGGGGTGGATAATACAGCTTACATTAGAACGTTTAAATTTCAAATAAGTACTAAACACTCCTGTACCTACTATTTTATGCCACCATCGACTTAGAGACTCTGCCTCGCCTTCTCCTAGGACATACTTCCATCTGCCCCGGGTCTTTTCTCACTATTGCCTGTCCCATTAAAATAGTCAAAACTCCATCCTGTGTAAAAAGAAGATAATGCCATGGTATTTACATAACTGCTAGGTCGGATATTCGGTTGATAGTTACAGTCAGTGTAGTATTTTTGATAAACATTAATAGTCACTACTTCTTCTGAATCATCAGGGTATTCCCATTCCCCCATGCGCAGTTTAACTGCACCTGGTCTGTCCCGAGTATCTTCACTTAAGAAGATCCTGGGGACCGCACTTGTGTCATTTCTTATTAGAAAGTCAAAACCAACATTATGTCTGATGATATACAGCAAGTCTTTTTTCATCAATACTTTAGGGAAATAGGGGTACCCTCTGTCATGAGCATGTGGCGTATGGCCACACACCCAACATGGCTTACATAAATCCAAGCTCTTATATACATTAGCTGCTGCCTTAATAAAGTGATTGTGTTCTTCCCAAGGCGAGAGGTGTCTGTCTGATTTAGGGGTGTCAGAACATGTCCTTTGAATTTTTAAAAGTAAATACCAAAAGGTATCAGGGGTGCTGTTAGTGCAGCAGTAGGTTGCACCACTATTCTCTACAATAGTGTATGTTCGCTTTGTGCTTTGCTCATTTGCGTAACCTACCCAATATTGGGTAAGTTCTTCTAGAGTAATATTAGAGTCAATATGTGTATATAGTATGCGGCAGCCAAAAGGTGTTGCAGATTCTAGCGTCAACATATCAAATGAATCATGCGGCAGCTTAATATAGTTCATCGCCTCAGTGTCATTGTGGCTAAAATAGCCTTCTCCATATAGGCTTGCCCTTATGTTTGGACAGTCATTAGTCAGTCAGGTTACTTGTATCTCGATCTCTTTCCACTTCATTTCTGCGGAATCACTCTGGTCCCAACCTCCAATCTCGTTGCTGGTATCTGAACCGACCAAAGGGCGTAGAGTAAGTGCAGTCATCACAATAACAGCCAGACCAAAGAGCTTTGCCTGTAAAGATACAACTCATCTTACTCTCTCAAATAACATTTGCCCGAAGGCACGTATTCCCATTTATCTTGTCCTGACTTGGAGAGTATCACAGTGTTGTCATTGCCTGTTGCAATAATGTCTGCTGGTTCTGGGGGACCTTTCTCAGTCCTCACCCAGACTTTGGCCCCTGGATTTAGGTTAGTAGAGCCAAATCCCTTATCACCTCTTACTGTTTGTAAGGTGGGGGCTGTTCCTTTATTTATCTGTCCCTGGTAAATGTGGATGATAACCAGTTGGGCTATTCTGTCCCCTTCTTGCACTAGCAAGTCTTGTGGCCCCTGATTTAACAAAAGGATCTTTATTTCTCCTTGGTAATCTGCGTCTATAACCCTTCCCATTACGTGTATCCCTTTAAGGGCGAGGCTAGACCTAGGTGCAATTAGTCCAAAGTGTCCCTGGGGTATCTGTATTCCTATACCTGTGGGGAACATCTGAACTTGCCCTATTTTAAGTCTTTCTTCTTTTCTGGCTCGCAAGTCTATTCCTGCAGCCTCTGGGGTAGCCCTGTATGGGGCCAGAGCTCCCTCTTCTATTTCCCAATATGTGATGGTGTTGCTTGTTATATAAGGTTTAGCTTGTATATTGGGTGCAATCATTCTAGTGAGGGCATTGTCATGGTCTGAGAGTGGCCTATTGTTCAAGATGTTTACAGCTGTAGGCAAGTTATCTCTCCATTTGTGCATGGTCCCTTCACCAAGTTTCCTCAATTGTTGTTTCAATAACCCATTCATTCTTTCAATCAGACCAGCTGCTTGAGGATAGTAGGGTATGTGAAATATCCATTCAATATTGTTTTCATCACAAAAGTCTTGTACCAGTTTTCCTTTAAAGTGACTTCCATTGTCACTCTGAATTTGTAATGGAAGACCATAGTATTGTATTATGGTTTCCAGCATTTTAATAGTATTTATTTGGATAGCCCTCTTGCAAGGGTGGACCAATAAATACCCTGAATATGAATCCACAGCCGTGCATACATATTGACAATTTTTACTCAAAGAAAGTGTACCTATGTAATCCACCTGCCATATTTGCCCTGGGGCTTTTCCTCTTTTTATTTGACCTCTAGCTTTGTGTGTCTGTCTATATGCAGTAAGTATAATCCAACTTCTTTTCTGCCACTTATCTTTTGGAATCTTTGACAAGCAAGCTAGAAGGTCAGTAGGCATGTCAATTTCACTTTTTTCACATTCATCATTGCATTTGCCAGCGGAAAGGGCCCATTCCCTGGCAATCAATGCATATGGCTCATCTTCCCATCCGGGAATGATGGCGTCATCACCCTGTTTCTTATTCTTTTTAAACATCGTGCAAAGTTCCTGTGGTTATTTCAGGGAAAAACTTTCACTCAAGCCTGCCCAGATGACTATTCTGGCTGCAGGCTTGCACTCCCCGAACACACTGACGCTCTACACACTCCGTGGAGTGTATAGGGACAGCTATGATCAAGCCAACAATCTCACACTTTCAGGAACAGCCGTTTTCTTCACTTCCTCAGTCAGCACTGGCTTCCAGCACCCGTTAAGGTGCGTAGGGGCACTTGTTAACTGACCAAACACAATCACTCATTCGTGTCAGAATCACCCCAAACAATCTTGTGGTTTTGGTGATCTTATCCCAATACCTGGTATTGTGCTTATTAAATTAGCAGCAATTCAGCTTCATCCAGGACGCTAACCTGTTTGAGGGTAACGCTCCCCAGAAGGCACTGGCCTTCTACACACCTTTAAGATGTATAGGGGTGTCTACCAACTGAGCACAACTTGTATTCTTCAATCAATCTTCAGAAACACTCCTCAATCTTGTTAGATCGAGCATTCACTCACCAATCTTGCTCTTGCAACATCATGCAAACATTTTCAAGTTTACACAATGTTCAAAGAACCTGTAGAAACCATAGTGCTTGTTTTCTAAGCTTAGAATCTCTATAGCATACTTTGCTGCAGCGCACAGAAGAAATTGACAGCTTGCAAACGGCTTTTTTCCTCTGTGACGCAGCAGAAATTAGACCTTGTACAATGTTAGTTTCACTTTTACTGTACACACAATTTGTCTAGGCAGTTCTAACAATCTCTAACCACAATTTTCTTATCTTACTTAAACAGTTCTAACGAATTCTAAACACAATTTCCTTGTCTTAACTATACTTAACAACTCTTTTAAACAATTTCAAATTATTGATTTCAAGTTTCTTTGCTCAATTAACACTCATCCCATTCTCGTCGCCAAAATGTTGTGCCTAATCATTAAATTCATGAAGCACCAATATCCAAAAAGTAATAATCAATTACCTAATAAGATTTATAGCGATATTGGTGGGCACACAACCCAGTTCGAGATGAGCGTCTTGGGCTATTGGAAAAAGAAACCACACAGAGACCAAATTGCAGATCAGAATTCACACCACACTTTATTTTCCACAAGGGGACCCAATACAGAGTAAGCTTAAAGGACCACTCTAGGCACCCAGACCACTTCAGCTTAATGAAGTGGTCTGGGTGCCAGGTCCTTCTAGGGTTAACCCATTTTTTCATAATTATAGCAGTTTCAGAGAAACTGCTATAATTATGAATGGGTTAAGCCTTCCCCCTAATCCTCTAGTGGCTGTCTCATTGACAGCCACTAGAACGCTGCTTACTCACTGTGAAAATCACGAGTATACGCCCAGCGTCCATAGGAAAGCAGCATGCCACCATAAATGCGTTGCTCTTGCCGCGCGTGCGCATTCAGGCCGGGGGGCTACTAACGGAGGAGAGCTCTCCGCCCAGCGCTGGAAAAGGTAAGTTATTACCCCTTTCCCCTTCCAGAGCGGGCGGGAGGGGTCCCTGAGGGTGGGGGCACCCTCAGGGCACTATAGTGCCAGGAAAACGAGTATGTTTTCCTGGCACTATAGTGGTCCTTTAACTCTCCTTAAGTAGTTGCATGCATTCACTTCAAAACAGCTTAGTATCTAGATATATCAGCTTAAGTATACATCACCGTTAGAGGGGCTTGTGTCCTCTGCACTTGACTGGGGGAAAACTCTGGCAGTCGGCTTGGAGGGATCCTCTCTGGGAACAGCAGAGACCAGCAACAGGCGTCCGCATTACAGGTGGGTAGTTCTCCAAGTGAGTGCCAAGTTTCTCCGTCTTTTATACTTTTTATCAAGTTTGTAACTTTTCCAAGATTTCTTATCAGTGCAGCCCAGCATGTATCTTGTCAAGTAATCAGTATGGTTGATCAGGCCAGTCGTGACCACCCAAGGCTCATTCCAGACACGTGCGGTATCTTATTCTATCTATGTCCCTACTCTTTCTATACATTTGTTGGCACCAATTCCCTCTGTTCAGCATGTGGGCCTTTTTTGGATATTGGCCAGATATGCTATGGAATATTCCAGGGCCGGTGCAAGGATTTTTGGGTACATAGGCGAAGATGTATCTTTCCGCCCCCCCCCAAATAACATCTTCACCTATGTGCCTCTTAACCAGCCCCTCTCCCCGTCCATTAGTGGTCCCCTCCCTTCCCTGTCCCTTAGTGTTCTTCTAAGCTCTCCCCTCTTTTTCCTGTCCCTTGGTGTTTCTCTCCCCTCCCCTCCCCGTCCCTTGGTGCACCCTCCACCCCCTTAGTGGTCGCACTCCCCTTCCTGGTGTGCCTCCTACCTCTCTTGTAGCATTGCCAAGTGGAGGATATCCCCTACAGGAGCTTCAATTTTCTGTACCTGGCCAGACTGACAGGGAGTGCTCTCTCAGTGAGCACCTCCGGTCAGTCTGGCTGGGTACAGGAAACAGAAGCTCCTGTACTGCGTTCCACCACGCTACACTCAGTGGTGTATACACACTGACAGTCACACACACTCAATGACAAACACACAGACTCACTGATCTGACACACACTCATTCATTGACAGGCACACTGATACTCACACACAGACTCAATGACAAAGATATTCTCACTGATTTGACAGACACTCACAAACACACACTGACAGACACACATACACTGCCACACTCATACACTCACATGCAGTACTCATACAAGCACTCACAGACACACTCACTCACAGACACCCATACTCATGCACACACTCAGTCACTCACAGGCACACAGACACTCAGGCACACATACACTCACACACAGACACACACACAATCACAGACAGTCACTCACAGACACACACTCACTAATTATTTTAATAAATAAACATTTTCCACCCAGCCTCCCTACCTGGAGAGCTGGTGTGGATGATGAATCATTCCCTGGGGTCCAGTCAGTGGTGTATCCTGGTTTTGTGCTGCCCTAGGCAGGACAAAACTCAGGCCCCCCCCCCCCCCACCGCACCAGTCCCCTCCCAACCCTTCCCCCTGGCCCGCCTTCTAAATACACACACACACACATTCACTGACAGATCCGCATACACTCGCTAACAGAAACACACACACACACTAACAGACACACACTCACTGACACACAAACTCACACTAACAGACACACACAGTCAGACACACACTCACTGACACACAGTCAGACACACACACACACTAACAGACACACACTCACTAGCACACACACTCACATTCACTGACAGATCCGCATACACTCGCTAACAGAAACACACACACACTCACTGACACACACTCACTGACACACACACACAGTCAGACACACACACACACTCACTGACACACAGTCAGACCCACACACACTAACAGACAAACAGTCAGACACACACACTAACAGACACACACTCACTAGCAGACACACACACAAACTCTCACACACTAACAAACACACATTAAATGACACACTCACTGACACACACACTCACTGGCAGACACACATACAGTCAGACACACACATACACACTAACACTCACTAGCAGACACACACACACACAAACTCACACACACACTAACAAACACACACAAATTAACAGACACACACTAACAGACACACACACACACACACACTCACAGGCAAACACACACTCACTGACAGTCAGACACACACTAACAGACACACACTCACTCACTAGAAGACACACACTCACACAGTCAGACACACACACACACACACACTAACAAAACACACACACATTAACAGACACACACTCACTCACTCACATTAACACTTTTTTTTTTTATTCACTCCCCCCCCCCACCTCCTTACCTCTGGGAGTGCTGGGGGGGAAGGGGTTCATTACCTCCCTGGTGGTCCAGTGGCTGCTGGGCGGGCGGCCAGCGAGGGAGCTCTTCCTCTGAGCGGTCTGCTCAGCTCCCTCGCGCGCCGCAAAGTGAGGCTGGGAGCCGGAATATGACGTCATATTCCGGCTCCCGCGGTATCAGCAGACAGGGCGCGAGGGAGCAGAGCGTGGAGATTAGAGCTCCCTCGCCGCGTCTGATCACAGCACAGCCGCACGCCGCGCCGGGGATCCAAAAGGTGGCCTGGCA